GTTCAACACGAAGGTAAATGAATAAAGGTAAAACATGAATGCAGTAAATAAATATCGATCTAAACAAACTGTGGCAACTTAGTTGATATAACCAAATCAACATGATGGTAGACAACTTCCTCTATCTTAGATAGCTAATTGTACTCCTTTAAACAGGAGCATGAGAACAGGGATGCAAAAGAGCTTGAGAAAGAATTTTTTTTTCAGTGAAAAGTTTTAATGATGATGATAGGCTCACAGTGAGCAAGGCACTGTGCATTCTGGTGCTAGTTAAATGACATAAAAGAGGAGAAGGAACCATGATAATCTTGTGTAGTTAGTTGTACAGATCTCAACAATGACCAGTGACTTGAAAGTCTTTTTCAGAGTATTAGGGTTTTTGAAACGTGCATTATGAATTGATACATGTAACACAAGAAACTGTCACTAAACGTTTAGACTGAGTGACTCTTGAAAGATGATTCCCCTTGCGAATTAAAGGTAGAAATTCCTAGGAATTCCTAGGATTTTCCTAAGAATTCCAAAGAATCTATTCCTAGGAATTCTTAAGAATTCCTAGGAATTCCTAGGAACAAAGGTGTGAATTTTCCTGGTAATTGGAACACGGAATTCCTAGGATTTCCTAGGAATTCCAAGGTTTTCTAATCTTGCTTGGTGTGGGTGCGTAATTCCTAGGAATTCCCAGGAATTCCCAAAAAAACCTAAAAATTCTCAAAAATTCCTTGTTTATAGCCAACAGGACTTGGAATTCCTAGGAATTCCTGGGAATTCCTAGGAATTCTTGAGAATTTCCAAGAATTCTTAGGAATTCCAACTCAGAGCACCTGAATGACTTCCCTGGAATACTGTGAATCTAAAAACTTGCTGGAAATTCCTAGGAATTTTTAGTAATTTAAGGGGAAGGTGAGGCAATTAGAGAAAACCCAAAACGTTTTTGGTCCTACGTAAAGCAACTTAACCATGATAATCCGGGGGTTGCAGGTTTTGAAGTGGATGGCAAAGTCGTAAGTGATAGTGGCCTTAAATCAGAAATTTTAAACAGCCAATTTTCGAGTGTGTTTACTAAAGAAGACATTGAGAACATTCCAGAAATGAGATCTGATCCCACACCTGGCTTGGGCCCTTTGATTATCTCAGAACAGGGAGTCTTAAAACTTGTGTCCTCGCTAAACGCTAACAAAGCCTGTGGCCCTGACCAGATTCCACCCTGGTTTCTCAAAACTTTTACTGCAGACATGCATTGCTCCAATTTTGACTGACATCTTTCAAGACTCGATAGACAGTGGTACTGTCCCCCGCAGGTGGAGAGAGGCAAATATGTGCGCAGTTTTTAAAAAGGGAAAGTAATCTGATCCAGCCAATTATAGGCCGATATCCCTTGTGTTGCGTCGAAGATCCTTGAGCATATTGTCCACAGCTTTATCATGAACATCTAAGCGATCATAACATCTTAACTGACTGTCAGCTTGGTTTTAGAGCAAAGAGATCTACAGAGATGCAGCTAATTCTCACCTTACACGACATGGCAAAGGCTATTCAGAGCTCATCAATTTACGCGGTTGTCCTGGACTTCGCTAAGGCTTTTGACAAGGTTCCTCATAGGTGTCTCCTAAGGAAACTGCACTTTAACTATGGAATCCAGGGCATGTATCTAACCTGGCTGGAGTAATTTCTTAAACAACGTTTCCAGTCAGTTGTCTGCGAAGGCCAAACATTAAGTCAAAGCCCAGTGACTTCTGGCATACCCCAAGGTACAGTGTACAGTCCTTGGCCCACTACTCTTTTTATTATATCTAAACAACTTACCAGACAACGTGCAATCAACAGTTAGGCTCTTTGCGGACGATGCTTTACTCTATGGCATTATCGCCAGCGCGATGCAGACTGTGACCTTCTTCAATCGGACCTACACAGACTAGCATCCTGGCAACACTTTTAGCAAATCGAGTTTAATCCTTCCAAATGTAAAATTGTTACCATCTCACATAAGATCAACCCAGCCCAGAGAAAATACGTCTTCTGTGGTGTCGAATTGGAACAGGTGGATAGCTTGTGATGCATATCTTGGGGTTACTATTAGTAACAAGCTTAAGTGGTCAGATCACATTTCCGTAATAACAGCTAAAGCAAACAAGTCGCTGGGTTCAATCCAACGCAACATTTGGAATTACCCAAAGAATGTAAAGGAAATTGCATATACATCCCTAGTACGGTCGAAGCTGGAATACGTGAGTGCGGCTTGGGATCCATTTTCAAAGAAAGATGTCAGTGCCCCGGAAAGAGTTCAACGTAAAGCAGCACAGTTTTGCTCGCAGAATTATCATAGATATGCTAGTGTTACTGACATGATCGAAGATTTAGGATGAACCACGTTGGAAACGAGAAGAAGGCAGTCTTGGTTAATACTTATGTATAAGCTAACTCGCAGTCTCATTGACATAGATAATCGAGAATATTTAGTACTGCACTCCGAGAGTCGCACGAGGGGAGGCCATCAATTTAAATTTCGCGTGCCATAAAATTATGCAGGTAAAGACATTTTCAAATTTTCCTTTTTTCCAAGAACTATAACAGACTGGAACTGCCTCCCTGAGACCATTGTTTCGTCAACTTCCTTAGAAATGTTTAAACATAGGTTATCAGCCTTTTTAAATGATAGTTGTACATAGCTTATTTAGTTTTCGTAATGTAACTTTTATTTTCAACATCAACAGAATTGTTTTTTATTCATTTCCTTATTACCTTTATCTAGTTATTTGCTTTATTTTTACGGTTGGTGTGATGTGTTAATAATTTTATCGACCTAATAACATGTAAATGTAAATATCATTAAGGTATCACTTACTACTGGTGAGATGCCGAGGGATCTCAAGACTTCCATGGTGAAACCTTTGTTAAAATAATCTAATCCGTTTTTAAAGAAAGATGTCAGTGCCTGGTGTCAGTGTCTGGAGTTTTCGTTAATTTTCGTGCTGTGTCCAATCTGAAATTTGTTTCCAAGCTAATTGAAAAAGCTGTGTTTTTACAACTTAACACATATCTTACTACCAATGCGCTACACGAACCTCTGCAGTCTGCATATAAGATTGCATCGCACTGAAACTACAGTTTTGAAAGTACACAGTGACATCATGTTATCTCTTGATAAAGGCAAGAGAGTGATCCTGATTCTCCTGGACCAGTCTGCTGCGTTTGACACTGTAAACCACACCTTTTTGTTGGCGAGACTTGATAAACGTTTCGGTATTAAAGGCACTGTTCTGAATTGGTTCAGTTCATACCTCTGGGAAGGCACTCATTTTGTTGACATTGATCAATCTCAGTCCTCTGTGCGCGACCCTTTTTTAGTTGGTGTTCCTCAAGATTCTGTACTCGGACCTGTACTCTATCTGTTATACACATCTCCTATCTAAGAAATAATCAAGAAATACAATCTTAATTACCACCTCTATGCTGATGACACCCAGCTGTACTTGTCTTTTGATACCAGTGACGTGGATTTGGTTATCAAGCGCATAGTTGCCTGCGTGACTGAGATTTGCCGCTGGATGAAAGATAGTGACTTAAAATTCAATCAGGATAAGACCGATGTATCCTTAATTCATTCTAAATTCTGAAATGGAGTCTCGCTTGATCACATTATTCTTGGAAATGAAAATATCTCCATTGCTAAGTCAGTTACCAACCGTGGTATTAGATTTGACAAAAACATGACTTTTGATGATCAAATTAAACACCTCTGCAAAACCTCGTTCTTTCACCTAAGAAATCTGTTCAGGATGTGTCGTTATCTGACTAGTGACTGTGCCTCAAAGGTTATACATGCTTTTATTACTTCGCGTATTGACTATTGGAATCATCTGTACTATGGCTTACCTAAGCATCAACTTAATAAAATACAGAAAACAGCTGCTCAATTTGTCACTTCCAAGGGCAAATTTGATCGCGTCACTACTTTACTGGTGCAGCTTCACTGGTTTCCTATCTCTTATCGTACTGAGTTCAAGCTTCTGTTGCTGGTGTACAATTCGGTCAATGGTCTCTGTCCATTATATGTTTTTGATCTACTCAAGATCAAGTTATCATCAAGATCTTTATGTTCTAGCTCTATGGACCATCTTGTGCAACCTGTGTCAAAGACAAAGACCTTCGGGGACAGAGCTTTCTCTGTGTGCGCACCCAAGTTGTGGAACAGTATTCCTTTTTGAATTCGCAAATCTAGCTCCATAACTAATTTTAGAAAGAGGATCAAGACCTTTCTCTTTTCAAAATTTGTAACTAGTAGTTCTCTTCTGTTTGATTGAATTTTATTTATGTGCATTAGGTTATTTTATTATTTTATAGTATTGATTTTATTATTTTATAGTAATAGCCACGAGAAGCTTTTGATGTGGGCGCTATATAATCCGACTGTTGTAAAAACTTATGTTTGCCATAAGATCATACACAGACTGGGGACTGGGGTGATAAACGTGGCCCAGGCTCCACGTAGGAATAGAATCTTCTTAAACTTTGAAAACGTAAATAAATAAATGAATAAAAATTAAATAATAAAAACATATATATAAATTATATACATATATCTAATAATCTGATAAACACATACATATGATGCACGATCCTCGCAGTAGATAGCGCTATTTAAGCAATAGCGAAAATCAGACCTGAAAAAAATCAGGCCTGTACGGGATTCGAACCACTGACCTATTCGCTATTGCTTAAATAGCGCTATCTACTGCGAGGATCGTGCATCATATGTATCTAATACCGCAGTACGAAATATAACTTCATATATTTCATTGTATCTCATTTATCACTTTCTCGCAAACCGATTCACCGTGTGGTGAGAGATAACATAGGAAGCAGTGATTCCAGGGACCTCAAATGTAGCGTGATGCGGGATGGGTAACTTTAAGCATATCAAAAGTGAAAGGAATAAACGCTTTTACAGATTAACGACCATGAAGCGAAAACAAAAAGAAAATAAACAAAAATGAGCCTCACCGATTTCTTCTTTGTCTTGGACAATACCTTCCCTCTCCGTCCTTTGGCTCAATGAAGTCCATATTCCGGTTTAGGAATAACACTTAGTTTCGCAACCCAAAGCTCTTTTTGCTGTTCAGTTCAAATGCTGTTCATTTCAAATACTGTTCAGTTCCAGCCTGGGGAATAAAAGGAGTCGATGGTCAGGTTCGTTATTCAAACCCGAGTATGAAGTAGCTGTTGACTCAATTAATACGAGAGGAACAAATCTCTGAATGATCTTTATGTCGGTACTTCTCGCAAATAGGGCGTGGTTGAACTGTTAAGTGGTTGGGTGAGTCAATATTGTTCTACAGATCATGAGAAGCATTACAAGCGATGTTTATTGACATTTGAAATCGTTTGAGAGCTCCAGTCTCTCATTTATTACCCATCAGATGTTATCATATCAATCAATACCCAGTCAGTTCTTGGAAGCACTTTAAAAATTCGACTACTAGACTGTCAGCCATACATACGGAAGCAATTCAATCCATTCCATTTCACGAAGCAGGTTTGGATCAACTTTGTGTTTTGCTTTTACATCAAAAGGTTCTTCTATAGCTGCTATAACTCACCTGCTCCTGTCAAACATTAACATTTTTTAAAACATTAATTTAGTTCATGAAGTGTCTTGATTTCTTTGGTGAAGAAAGAAAGAATTAGACGTAATAGCAAAAGTGCAGTCTTTAATAATCACATGGTAGTAATTAAAAACTAAAAATAGATTTAGTCCTATCCTCAGGCTTGGTAAATATGATTAGAAATTAATTTGTGATGAAGCATTATTTCTTTTGTTGCCTCTCTAGGTTTATCAGAAAGCGGAACAATTTTTCCAATCAGTGATAAGAGGCCAACCCCCTTTGTTGCAGCTGATCAGCCTTCTAAAGGACTCCGAGAAGAATTGATTCACTCAACTCATCATGAACTTCAAGGTAATATCAGTATAAAATGATGTCAATTAATCCAATTTATTTCAAATTGGTTTCCAAAATTGCAAAGATTACCAGTAGTTTAAAATTTTTTATGCCACAGCCATGCACTTGTCAATCAGCTGTTGCAAGTTGAGTTAACCTAGAGGAGTCTTCTGAAATCATTCAATTTCCCTTTTGTAGGTGCAGAAGGCCCCTCTGTTGGCCACTTTCCAGTACAGTCATCCATGGAATATGAACAGTTTTCTCTTTCCAGAGTTGCTGCATCTCAAGACAAACCCATTGATCGAAGGAGTTTCACTCAGAGTGAGTACCAAGTACAACAAATGAATTGTATGTTATTTAGGATACTTTATAAAAAGTTGAAGATCGTAGTAAAAGCAAAAGTATAGTAAATTGTATTAAACATTTTGTAGAAGCTTATGTTTTTAGTATTTCTGTTAAATTAAATTTTGTGATCAGTTCCATCTAGAGGCATAGGACAAATTATAATTATAAGTAGCTTTGACTTTTATCCTTTCCTCTACATTAAACTTTCATTTTTCAAGAATGTTTCATTGTCAAAAAATGTACTGTAATTTAAAAGGCTAAAAAAAAAGTAATATCGTCATGTTTGATATCTAATTCATGTCAGGCCAGAACAGATATTCACCCTCTGAACATTGTCAGAGTCCATTTGCTGGAGCCAGTTCAACATATTGTGCAGGACCTGAAAATCAAAGATGTCATCCTCAAGGTGAGATGGGAACATAACTAGGAATAATGGCAGCTACTACATATGAGAAGCTTGTTGAGAGGGGCTAGTTGAGAGTGTTGCCTGAGTGCCTATCTATTGTGCCATGTGTTTTGACTGGGCTCTGCAGTCCTAGTTACTAGTTCGAATCCTCCCTCTCCACTTCTTTTGCCTTGCTTGCAGACATGGCAGTTATATAGTTAGTGCAGCAATTATCAGTGAGTACTACAGCTTCCTCAAGGAAGGTTTTCTTAAAGCTTCTCACTGAGAAGGGGTTTAACCTATTGACCTCTTTACGTTGCTTAAAGTGGTCACTTTCACTTAACATTTGGCAGGTGTTTTAACCCATTTCATTTCACAAAGCAGGTTTGGATCAAATTTGTGTTTTGCTTTTACATCAAAAGGTTCTTCTAGCTATAGCTCACCTGCTCCTGTAGCTGTGGATCATACTCAAGGGAGTCTTTCTGAAGCCTTTGTAAATCAGAATTATCATGGGAGCCAGAACTATCCTCAGAGTGAGTACAGAATATTTCTGATAATTTGGTGTTTGAATAAATTACAGTAGATATGACAAATATCTAGTTTTTTTCTTGGCTACTGCTCTGATTAAATCTTTTGTCATACAATGCATGTATAGTGCCCTTAAGGACTTTCTTTACTTCACTTACATGATGAGATTGGAAAAGTCCATTGTGCATACAACACTGTAAGCATTATATTAAGATAATTATAACCCTTAAATGTCTAAATGGCATGTTTGGTTTCTGATCCATACCAGGCCACAACAGGCATCCATCTTCTGAACACAGTCAGAACCCTTATGCTGAAGCCAGTTCAATGTATTATGGAGGATTTGTTAATCAGGAATGTCATCCTCAGGGTAAGATGATGAAACAACCAGGTATTATTTTACCAAACAGTGATGATGATTTTGTTAAGCATGTGCCAGCTACTGTATGTTAGGAGTTTGTGGAGAGTGTTGGATTTTTAAAGGATTCTGTAGTTCTAGTTAGTCTCTCCAGGCCTCCCTTTCTACTTCTCTGCCTTGCTAGTTAACATGGCAGCAGTTAATGAAGCAATCACCTGTAAGCACTACTGTAACAGTTTCCTCACTTAAGATTTTCTTAAAACTCATCACTGACATGGGGTAGACCCTTCTGACACCTCTGCATTACTTAAAGTGGAAGGTTTCTCTTAGCATCTTATGAGGTGTTTCAAAACATTTTATTTCCCAGAACACTTGTGGATTATACTTGTGTTATGCTTTTGCATTGAAAGGTTCCTCTAGCTATGGCTTGCCTGCTCCTGTAGCAGTTGATTATAGTCAGGGAAATCATCCTGCAGCCTTTTTAAATCCAAATAATCAGGGAAGCCAAACCTTGCCTCAGAGTGAGTACAGAAAATTTGTGATAATTTGTTTTTTGAATTAAGGGAAGTAGTTTTGACTGATAACTGGCGTTTTATTAGCATACTGTTGTGCTCTGTGTTGTCACATATTTCATGTAGTGTACCCTTGATGAGTTTTATGACTACAGTTTTGTGGTGTGTGGTTTCCTATCAACATCAGGTCAGAACAGACAGCCATCTTCTGAAAATGATCACAATCCATATGCTGGAGCCAGTTCAATGCACTACAGTGGACTTTTTTATCAGGGATATCATCCTCGGGGTAAAATTGAAGAATAACCAGAAATTTTTCCTCCAAACCTACAGACATGTTGACTGACACACCGCCAACGCATCAGCCGACACACTACCAATATACCACCGACACACTACCAACGTGTTCGCTGACACAGTACCAACAACTTCGTAGGAAAAGAAATCTAAATCACCACCATCTTCTCCTAACGTTGCTCTGCTTAAATCTTTTGTCCTACACTGTATGTATGATGCCCTTAATGACATTCTTTACTTCACTTTCATGATGAGATTGGAAAAGTCCATTGTGCATACAACACTGTACGCATTGTATTAAGGTTATTATAACCCTTAAATGTCTAAAGGACATGTTTGGTTTCTGATTCATATCAGGCCACAGACATTCATCTCCTAAACATGGTCAGAATCCATATGCTGGAGCCAGTTCAATATATTATGGAGGATTTCGTCATCAGGAATGTTATCCTCAGGGTAAGATGACAACACAACCAGGTATTTTTTACCAAAAAGTGTTGATGATTTTGTTAAGCATGTGCCAGCTACCGTATGTTAGGATTTTGTAGAGAGTGTTGGATTTTTACAGGATTCTGTAGTTCTAGTTACTCTTTCCAGGCCTCCCTTTCTACTTCTCTGCCTTGCTAATTAACATGGTTATATTAGTTAGTATATACATACCTTTTTGTAACAAGCATCTTTTTGCTCATCAATGTTTTGTGTTTAAATAAAGTTATACTTACTTACTTACTTACATGGCAGCAGTTAATGTAGCAATCGCCTATAAGCTAAGCACTACTGTTAACAGTTTCCTCAAATAAGGTTTTCTTAAAGCTCATCACTGACAAGAGGTATACCCTACTGATACCTCTGCATTACTTAAAGTGGAAACTTTCTCTTAGCATCTTATGAGGTGTTTCAAAGGAGTTTATTTAATTTTATTGATCAAATTGGGCCTTGTTTTCATGGAAGCCAGTTCAAGGCCAAGTCAGGAGCCAAGGCATCAGTGTCATTTTCTTCACAAAACATTTCAAGAGTTTTTAGCTGCCTTCTACCTAGCAAACGAGCTCTTGACGAACCAACCAAACCTTACTTTAGGCAAGAAAGATGTTTGGGGAAAATACAGACAAGTAATTTTCTTTGTAGCTGGCATATTGGGCATGGAAGGAACGGTGTTTTTCAAACAGATAGGAACGATTCTGAGAGGAGACTGGGACTGGCATAATCCTAATGAAGACTGTGAGTTCTTACTTGACCTTTTAGAAGAGAGTGGTGCTGCTGATCATTTTGGCAAAGTTGTCTGCCCTCTTATTCCATTACCAACTGATTTTCAAGTGGGTAAGAAAGAGCGGTCTTGCTTGAGGTTGATACGATATGCTTACGAAGGCGCCATGCTTGAAGGTGATTCAACACCAGTGCAGCTAACCACACTTAGCTTGTGTAATGTACAGTCTTTTAAAAGAGACGATGTGCATAATTTCCATCGAATTCTCGAAGACAGTCAGACTCTCACAGAGCTTGTCATTTATAAAATCGAGAACATGTCCCATGATATTGCAGATCTGTTCGCTGAGAGTGTGTCGTCAAGCACTTCATTAAGAAAAGTCACGCTTAAACTGTTGGACGTGAGTACTGAGAGGTGCACCTACAATGCTAGTGCCTTGTTATCGACTTTTTCACAATTGAACTGTGTTGCGCTTGAGTTCTTTTGTATTCTGAACAACACTGTTGCAGAAGCCGTAAAAGTGTTATTAAAAACATCGCTAAGATCTCTCGCGCTTATTGTTTATGGGGATCTGGATGACTGTTTAGCGTCGTCTGTTAGTGAAGGACTTGCAGAAGAAACCGGGCTGGAGTCTCTTAGTCTTGTTGTTCATGGAAAACCCAGCAACCCTGGAATCGTAGCACTGCAGAAAGGTGTTCTACGAAATAGAACTTTGCACTCTTTAGAATTACAGGTCTATGGAGAAATCCCAGAAGCGTGGATGACAGCTGTTGCTACCTTACTGGCAGCCAATAAGTCATGGAAGTCTCTTATTATTCATCCAAATGTGTGCGGGAAAATTAAATGTGGAGAAAGTTTGCCGCTCCATCCGATTCTAGGTGCACATGATGCCTCGTTAGAGAAGTCGCTAACCGTGAACGTCTGTGGGGAACTGAGTGTTGACAGCTTAAAAGCCCTTGGAAGTTTTTTCACGAAAAGTTCGCCATTATCTGGTCTCCACTTGAATGTCCAAGGTAAACTAAGCAATGACGTTGTGAAATGTCTGGTAGACTATTTTCTGGCCAACAATTTATTGTTCTCACACAGTATTATTAACCTTTGCGGTGAAATCACAATCTACGGAGAAAATGCCCTTCAAAGATTAGTTAAAGAGGGGCAAAAGCATTCTATTTCAGTGCACGTGAATGGTCCCAGTCAAGACAATATTTTAGGAGGGTTGGAAACATCCGCTGATTTTTCTTCAGTTTCGGCCTCGTTTTTAGTTGATGGGACGACTACTGCTCCCGAAGTCATAAACTTATTAAGCTTTGCATCTTTACGTACGTTCCATCTCACTGTCAACAACCACGCTGACGAGTCAGAAGGGTGGGCCTTGGGTGTGGCTAATGGCTTGGCGAGCAGCAGTTCATTAACTTCATTCACCCTCATAGTTAACATTGATGCTGACGAGATGGGAAACTGGGCCATGGCAGTGGGAGATGGCTTGGCAAACAGCAGTTCATTAACTACATTCAGTCTCACAGTCAACAATCATGCTGACAGTATGGGAAACTGGGCCGTGGGAGTGAGAGATGGCTTGGCAAACAGCAGTTCATTAACTACATTCAGTCTCACAGTCAACAATTATGCTGACGGTATGGGATACTGGGCCGGGGGAGTGGGAGATGGCTTGGCAAACAGCAGTTCATTAACTACATTCAGTCTCACAGTCAACAATTATGCTGACGATATGGGATACTGGGCCGTGGGAGTGGTAGATGGCTTGGCAAACAGCAGTTCATTAACTACATTCAGTCTCACAGTCAACAATCATGTTGACGGTATGGGATACTTGGCCAGGGAAGTGGTAGATGGCTTGGCGAAGAGCAGTTCATTAACTACATTCAGTCTCACAGTCAACAATCATGCTGACGGTATGGGATACTTGGCCGGGGGAGTGGTAGATGGCTTGGCAAACAGCAGATCATTAACTACATTCAGTCTTACAGTTAACAATCATGCTGACAGTATGGGAAACTGGGCCAGTGATGTGGGTAATAGCTTGGCGAAGAGCAGTTCATTAACTACATTCAGTCTTACAGTCAACAATCATGCTGACGGTATGGGAAACTGGGCCGTGGGAGTGGGATATGGCTTGGCAAACAGCAGTTCATTAACTACATTCAGTCTTACAGTTAACAATCATGCTGACAGTATGGGACACTGGGCCAGTCGTGTGGGTAATAGCTTGGCGAAGAGCAGTTCATTAACTACATTCAGTCTTACAGTTAACAAT